GCTGCCAATTTGAGGGTCAAGCTGCATCCAGTGATCAGCTTTCAGATGCACTGTGATTGCTATACGCAATAGTCAATTTTGTAACAAATAAATGAGACACAAAATAAACTCCACAATTTAAAATAATTAAAACTTTTAAAAGCTTTAAAATTGACTTACTGGTGTTTTCAGGTTGCCATTTCTCACGCAGGTGCCATTCTGAGCAGCAGACTCGGGCACAGTCTCATCATGGACTGCATTCTCTCTAAGGTGTAACAAACATGTTGAAGGGGTTAGCAGTGAGCACTCAGAACTACACACTTCAGGACAGAACAAGAAGAAAATACATGTGTTTTAGTATTTTGAATTCATTGTTTGGAAGTAGTGACATTTTTGTCACTAAAAGCCAAACAGCAAACTTTAAAAGTACAACAGGAATTTGGGGCCTTTTTCAGACTGTTGGCTTTCTTGTAAGATATGTAGATAATTAGAAAACCAGCAAAGCTATCAAAGGCATCAAGGAAGTACAAAGTAAGTAAATTAAACAGAAAGCTGACATTGACTTAATGCAGCCTTTGTTGACTTAAGAGCTTTGCCCCTTGAACCAATAACACAAGTAGGCATTCACTCTGGGTGCCCCAAGCTAAACGAGGCAGTGATGTTTGATGGTCTACATTTTAAAATGAGAGGAAGAAATTGGTTTACTTTGTTTATAAAACATGCCAAAGAAAAAAGACACATTAAAAACTTCATTTTCAGGTCACTACTAATATCATGGAGGAATAATTTTATAAAGAAATATGCACCTTCTGGGAGATCTGAAGCCATACATTTATCTGCAATGAAACCATGCCATTTTTCACCATTCCCAATGCTAACAATGTGCTTTGCCAAAGGTCATGTTTGAGTAGACGAGCTGGATCCCACTTGTGCAGTAGGTCCACTACTGGAAGCTGACTGCAATGGCCTCCTTTAAACTACAGTGGCCAGGACATGAAGCCAGTTGACTTGTACTACAGGAAGGCACAAAAAGAAAGTAAATATGAGAGTGTACAATTACTTCTATTTCCAGATACTACTGCAACAAGAGAGTGTACTAACTCATGTGACCACTTTACAAACAAAAAACCGGTGTGTTACACCAACAGATACAGTCAATTCTCCAGCATCCAGTGCTGGCTAACACAGATGGAGAATTAACTGTTCTATGGATGCAGAGCCACCTCAACTCCACCTAGATTTATCAATGCCATATAAGCATTTTTATCTTTCTTCTTCCCAAGATTGGTTTGCAAAGCAAATTCTGAGACTGAAGAACATCAACTGCAGGACCAAGGTCCTGACATTATTCTATTGGTAAGAACAGACAGGTTTTATTTAAACATGTCTCTGTTTACTTTTTGGATCTATTGAGACACCTCAAGAAGTGATGTAGAATAAGGCTTTCAAAGACTCCTATAAAAATTCTATATAAACATAAAATTGCACAAAAATATAAAAAAATTCTGAATATAATTATGCATATGCTTACCTTCCCTACAGAGAAATGTCCCATGAAAGTTAAATTCCACAAATTACTTGTTATAGAAAAGTTCAAAACGTGCCATAGTGTTTGATAGATGGAAGCAAAGAAAATAATTCAGGATGAACCAGCTCTTATACTAGCTGTCTGGACATTCTGCATGTGGAGAGTGGGATGAACTATAGCTCCCAGATGAGCCAGTATTCTATAAGCAATCATTCACAAAAGTTTATAATTGTCGTCTTTGATTTAAAATTGCAAGCTACAGAGATTAAGTATCCCAAGTACCACCAAAGACTTCCCAGCTGGAAAGAACAAACAGCAAGGGACAGCAGTATGTGTTGCTTTTCTGATGCCAGTTTGCTCTTCTTACATTCTTCTACAGACCACAAAATCAAAAAGAATCCAGCCATGTTTGTCAAGGAGCTGTTTCTCCTATGTGATTAAATCCTTTCACTCATGATTTCAAAGCAGAATGCATCCCTGTGGAGCTGGACTAACAGGTTCTTACTTGCACTGTTTCACTGGAACTACAACTCAGGCGTCAGCCAGCATCATAATAACATGAGTTACCAGTTTCTGCATTGGACCTCAACATAACACTCAACACACCTTCAAAACCTTTTCTGAATTGTTTACAAGTACTACTTAGCAACTTACTGCATCCCATAATGAAGAAAAATGCACTGCATTTGATTAGAGCAACTATATTTGAGTCCAAGTTGGTTTAAAACACTTAAATAATTCAAAAAATCAAAACTGCCAGAGGACAGTTCTGCCAAGGACTTGCCTGATCATGTACTGCTTTTAGTTTCTCTGTCTGGAACACACTTCTTTGAAGGTTTAATTCACGCCTCGCTCCCCCAAGAACATCCTGAAGGACACCATTCTGCACAGTATCTACTGGCCTTGGCTATTTGTTCAGTCTCTTACACCAGACGAAATGTAGCAAAAAGATAGCAAAAAGGGCCCAACAAAGTAAGGAAATACCTGGCATATGGAACAGCATGTTACCAAAGCTCAGCAACACCTGCAAGAGTGAGAAGACTACAGATGTACAGTTCCCTCACGCTGGGCCAAATAAACACCAAATTAAACATATCTGGGGTGAAACTTGTTAGAGTAACTGTTACACATACTAGTTAACATCTATCTTAAGTACTCAACAAATTTAACTAAGCACTGAATACTAATATTAAAAAGCCATTTAGTTTTTGCACTGTTTTGGTTCCCAGTGCATCACAGTGCATAGCTATGACTCAGGAAGCACAGGGAAATAATGGATAACTTACACAAAAATAGGTTTTTTTAAATCCTACTAATACTACTAATATTCATGTTTCTTCTTTTTCTCCCTATTTTTTCATTTTTTTTATTTTTTTATTAATTTTGTAGCCTTTAACACTGTTTCCAATAAGGTTATTTATAAGGGAGGTACAAACATTTGCAGAAACTAGACCAGCACCTAAAAACTGAACCCCATGAAACCACTGAGCAATTAAATGGGATATTTAAATGGAATTTTCATTTGCTCAACTACATTTTTGCTGAAGAAATTGTTAAAAGAATTAAGACATCCTCTTACCTTCTTAAGCAAAATAGGAACTACTGTGCTTAGCTGGGGTACTTCTGCAGCAATCCCTATACATATCTCCATTTAACATCTTTTCAACTATAGGAGTGCAATGGTAGCTTTGACAAATTTCAAACTAGCTGAAGTTTTTTTTTCCTCCCCTTGTTATTACACACCACATTGAGCATTTTGCATGCATACAATCACTGCTTCATGCACTGGAAGAAACAGCTCTCAGCCATTTAGTTTGCTTCCATCAGCAACAGGTAAGAAAGCATAAGCAGAATGCCATTTCTATTTCCACCTTTATACCCTGTTACATGTGGCTCAGAGACTCATTTTTACCTTGTGTTCCTGCCACAATATCACTAGCACTTGAAGTATTACTGATAAAACACTTCAAGTACGAAGGAAGCCAAATCCCACATCTAATCCTCAGACACAATACTACTGTGATAACTTCTGAATTCAGTTTTCTTATCTTAATAAATATTTAGAATAGACTTGGTGACTCACACTTGGAAAGAAAACTACCTCTTTACCAAGGAAGCAATATGTTCATTTTGCTGTGTAAAAGGAACAATTAATGCTACTGAAAGAATCCTAGCTGTAATTTTTTTAAATTATAAACTTCAAAACAACTGGCTAGTCCTTTAGAAGCAATATAAGAAGCTCCACTAAGCAGCTGCCATGCATCCATCTAACACTTCTGAAGGTAAAAGGCTGGTTTCAGATGAAACACACATATGAATGTATGAACATATGGGAAGCTATACATGTCATCATGGGCTACAACTCCCTCAGCTTTCATTAGAGCATAATGAAGCAAAATACGTGGGGAAAACGGGCCCAGAACGTGACAGGGTCAGCAAAGACTGGGCTGCAATGAGTCCAAAACACACAACAGTGGACATCTAAGAGGTGTCACTCTTTGAAACCAAAAAAGAAATTCCCAAATATTTTAACTTTACCTTTTATTTATTTATATTTATTCTAGTAGACCACCTAATTACTATTGTGTAATCAATGATATGAATACTTTAGCTCATCTCGACAGATGACTAAAAAATATGTTATAAAAGGGAGAAGACATGATGGATTCCTGATAAAAACAATACAAAATATATAGAAGCAATACCCCCATCAATGCCTACAGGGAGCCTACAGATTACTTAGCACTTTTCCCCCTCAGCATCCCCAAATTCTCCAAGGAAGGGAACACATGCACTGACAATGAATCTGCCCCTTTTTTCTAAGGTCGGGTACACATTTGCACTGTGGTGAATAAGGCACAGAAAAGCTTGCAAAGCGAAGGTCCCTGTCAAACAGCATAAAACACTCCATTAAGAAGATGCTAATTAGTACACCAAAGGAAATAAAATGAAGATATTAGTAAGCACAATGCACAGCAAATCCCTTTTTCCCCCCAAGATGACACACTACAGATTGCCGCGGTATCTGCACGGCACAGACCCAAAGGACAGCACCCTCATTTTACCAAGAGATTTTACAGGCAACCTGTGCCAGCTCTTACTTTTGGCTGGGAAGGTTACTGGCTGTGTTGGGCTCGGCTATCATTTCCGCTACATTATTTCAGCAGCACAAGCAATCTGACACGACCTTCTGAGGAACCTTCAGCGAAATCGAGAGTGTTAAAAACTTAACCCTTCGGCTTCTGCGGGCGGAACAGCGGCCGAAAACTGTCAAGAAAGGCACACAAAGAGACTTAATTCCAAGCAAACCAGGGCAAAAACACATCACGCCACCCCCCTCCATCCCCCCCCACACACACACACAGACACCCGGCTGTAGAAAAGGATGAAACAGAAAGGAATTAAACCTACCGACAACCCGGCCGTCCCTCCCGGGCGCTGCCCAGCGCGGCCGGCCCGGGCCCGGGCCCGGCGTCAATNGATGATGAAGAAGAGGAGGAGGATGAGGCGGCGCTGGAGGAGCTGCTGGGACCGTCTCCGCTGGCCCCGGGGCCCGGCGCCCAGCGCGTTGCCATCGTGCACCCCGCGGTGAAGTGGGGCCCGCAGAAGTCACCGCTCACCACGGGTGCGGGGCTGAGGGGGGCGGGCGGGCTCCCAGAGCGCTGGGAAGGAAAACATCCGGGGGGATTCGGAATGGACTGCCCTGGGAGGTGGCGGAGTCACTGCTCCTGGACGTGTGTTAGAAAACACTGAGTGCCATGGGCTGTTGGCACGGGGTGTTCGGTCACAGGTTGGACTCGATGCTGTCTTTTTCCAACCGAAGTGGTTCTGTGGCTGTGCCCCTAGTGTGAAGTGGACCCGCTGTTAGAGAGCTGAAACCTCTGTAAAGCGACGTGCGGCTTGCAAAGGACAAACCTGTATGGAAGGTCTCGGCTGCTCTTTCCCACTTTGAAAACTTTTTAAAAGATAAGGAGCTGTTAGTGAGTGTTGGCAGGTCTGTGCTTTGACTTGCAAAGCACGCTAACTATTTTGGACGGCAGAACGCCTCAGTGCAGGTTGGTCAGGGAAACAGTCGGGTGTCCCCCTTATTAGGACAATGTTAATTGCCCTCAGCCCTCAAACTCAACAGTCACCAATAATTCCTCTGTAAGGACTCTTTTTTAGGACTACTAAATTTTCTACATTTAATTTTCTAGATAGGACTACTACGATTTCTCTCAGAAATGGTCATAACTAACTAATATATAAGCATTAATCACACACAATTAAGATATGCATTATGAACTTGATGCTTCTCTTTAAACACTTCTCTGGTTATAAGGTTGCAATGTAAAGGATTAAGTTAAGCATCTTCTAAGTTAGCTTTTTATGCATAGAATCATAGAATGGTTTGGCTTGCAGGGAGCCTTTAAAGGTCATCTAGTCTGACCCCTCTGCAATGTGCCAGGACATATTCCACTGGACCAGGTTGTTAGAGCCCTGTCTAATCTGGCCTTGAATGTTCACAGGACCACCACCTCTCTGGGCAATCTGTTCCAATGTTTCACCACTCTTGTAAAAAACTTCTTTATATCAAATCTAAATCAAATCTCTTGGTTTATAACCACTGTCCCATTTTATTGCAACAGATCCTCCTAAAAAGTCTGTCCCCATCTTTCTTATAAGCCCTTCTTACATACTAAAAGGCCGTAAAAAGGTCTTGCGAGGAGCCTTCTCCAAGCTGGACAACACCAACTCTCCCAGACTTTCCTTATAGGAGAGGTTCCACCTGTCTGCTCATCTTTGTAGCGCTCCTCTGGACCTGCTCCAACAGGTCCATGTCTATCTTTGCAGCACTGCAGGTGGGCTCACACCAAAGGGGCAGAACCCCTTCCCTTGCCCTGCTGGCCGCATTGCTCAGGATGCAGCCCAGGACACCTTTGGCTCTCTGGGCTGCAGGTACAGAGTGCTGGGTCACGTTCAGCTTCTCATCCGCCAACAGCCCCGAGTCCTTCTCAGCAGGGCTGCTCTCCATCTGTCCATCCCCCAGCCTGCATCAATATACTGAGGGGCTGCCCTGACCCAGATGTAGGACCTTGCACTCGTTGATCCTCACTAGTTTACTATGGGCCCAGTTCTTGAGCCTGTCCATGTCCTTCTGGATGGAAAGAGACAGTTTATGCATACTTATTCTTTTATTCCATTTTTTTATGTGATGAACCTAAATCTGACTTAGTTTTGTTAGTGCTGCTGATTCTAACAAATTGTCACATTGCAGAATAAAGTTTTTAACCTTTTCAGAATTGATGTGATGTAATTTTACAACTGAAAAGAAGGTAAAATATGAAGGCACCTTTGTGTCCAAACATACAGAAGAATAGCAATGGTCCCTTTCCATTTATTTAGGCTCTCCAGATGAAGAGCCTGAAGTCTGAACAATAAAATGTTCAGTGAACAGTGGAATGATTTTTGAAGCACCACAGATGCAATGGGAAATCTGTATTTTACAAGAAACACAAACAATATGAAGAAAAGTGGATCATTATTATCTTTAAAAATATGTTGCTTTTTGGACCAATTTAACCTATTTAGCATATAAATTACATTTTGCAGTCTAGAGAATCTTGACAATTTTGCTCTGAAGAGGAAAAGTTCGGCATATCAAGACTAGAGTTGCTGATCTGATATGCTTGTGTAGTCTTTGTGATTTCACAAAGTCCTCAGAAATCATTGTTTTGCAGTGAAGATGTTAAAAACTCAAAAGTAATTGATGAACCAGAACACAGGATTCAAATCTGCTGGCTTTAGCAAGTCACAGACCAGTTTAGGTCCCTTATGAAAGAGTGGATGTGGAGTTAGCAGCAGGATATGCCATATTAGTAACTCCCAAATTATTGCTGCAAAACACCAGAGTGTTAATATTGTGGCTTTGTGCTCATCTGAAATAACAGATTTTCCAGATAGTTATTAATTTCAGGTGTTGAGTAAAAAAAGTTTGGTGATTTCTTTCCTGACAATACAATAAAAACTCTCCTAAGCCAACAGCCAGAAAAATAATTTATACTGTCAGAAAGATTCTTTGTGTGATAAAATTGCATCAAACTGTTCAATTACTCTAATTTGAGGTAAGACACTTTGCTGCTTGTGCTAGAGGCTAAAAGAATTTCAGTGTAGCTTATTTTTTCCATGTTCATGCATGTACTGTAGTTGAAGATCTGAGCAGAGTTATGATGGTACATTGTAATATTTATTTATTTTTTCTATTATTGTTATGTTCCTGAAGCTGAATTACAGATTGCTGAAGCTGTTGCTCTTGTAGACACTCTTCAGAATTGGACAGTTCTGGATAAAATCATTATTCCTACCAAAAATCGCAACAAGAAGTTTGTTTTTGGCAAAGGAAACTTTCAGGTTTTGACAGGTAAGGACGGAGATCTTTCAGCACTGCATCACTCTAAATGGAAGACTTTTGCATCCAAACTGTTCAAAGATAGGTGTGAAAGCTGAAGAGAGGGAGAATTTTGTTTATCCATCATGCATGTTTGCAGGCAGACTTGAAAGAATTTTTAAAGTTACTAAAGCAATGTAAAATAGACATAACCCCTGGTCACTGAAAATGTGTGAGGCAACTTAGTCTATAACTTTATGTGATTTACATAAATGAAGCTGATGCTGTTCTTGGCACAATACTGAATTAGCAATTACAACTGCTCTATGAACAAAGAATATGGTGCCATTTGATGTTTTATAAGCACTCTGCTCGATGCAAAATGGTTTATAGTCTGGGCATTTTGAAAAGAGAATTGACATTTAACAGTGTATTTTGCAATCATTATCCATCTTTTAGAAAAGATTAAAAAATTGCCCCATGTGACAGCTGTCTTCTTGAATGTGGAAAGAATATCTTCACTAACAAAGGTAATTAAATATAATATCAAATCATATTCTTTGCATCAGTATTGCTTGGAAGCTATTGATGTTAGGAGAAGTGGTCGGTTAAGATTCTGAGTTTGCAAATGTTAATATCTGAAACACCAGGACTGAGTTTTGTTGAAAAGAATCTCAATACCTTTTGCATTTTTCCAGTTGATATATGTTTCCAGCTCTTGTGCATGAAATTTTCCAGAAGCTTAGTATAATTTATTATAGACTCTTCTCCCACATTTGACACTGGCCCTATTTAAAATGTTAAAAAAGTTACTCAAGTTACAAAATGATGGTGTTAACACAGCTTTTGTTATGAAGGATGTCAACATTTTTGATTAGTTCAGTTTTGCCTTGATTATGCTCACATTTCTATATTTATAGTGGATAGCATGTTTTTTTCTTTATGCTGTGGATGCTGAATTGTATTTAGAATATGAGGTGTAAATTCTAGCAAGCTTATAATTGAATGTTTCAAATACTTAAGCTTTCATTCCTAAGCCTTAAAAAGAAGCATTGAAGGGTGCAGCATCCTGTTTTACTGGTAGTAAAACAACTGATACATGAACTGCAGATACTCTAGAACAAACTGAAATAAAAACTTTTCTGGGTTCTTAGTATGTGCAGCATCATGAGGGGTGTAAAGTGTATGCAAACTGCAAGCAAACATTAATGCTTTGCTGATAGTTTTGAATGCTCTTCCTAATTATCAAACGAAGAGATGACAAATATCTCTAAGAGATGGTTATTCAAGTGCTTCCATTTGTTGATGAAAGGGAAGTTGAAAATGTTTCATTTTAATTTCCTAGTCTTTAGGAAAACTCTTTATTTTCTAGTATGAGTTCTTTCACTATTAGTTTTGCTAAAAATTGTTTGTTTTCTTTTCAGAAATATAGATCTTAAAAGTAATTAAACAGGGTTGATTCAAGAAAGGATTTGAGAACATGTGTACAAGCATTCTGGATTTTAGAGATGGCATAAGAGAACTACTGCATATTTTGTCTTTTGCTGAATTAGAGCAAGGATGGGGGATTAGGGTTGGTTGGGGTTTATTAAGTATTTCATTAAAAGCTTGCTATTAAATAATTTCCCTGCATCCCTCTCTATTTGTTTGCAAGTTTTAGTAATCTTTTTGTTTTTTATGTTATTCCTAGCCTTTCCCATTCCAGTATTTCGTAATTTATTTTTTACAAGGATTTAACCACTGATTCCTGATTCTGAGATAGGCTGTAAGACTTTGTTGCAAGAATCCATAAAAATTCTGATCAACCAAATTTTGACTTTGTATGCTCATGATGATTGTCCATCCATTGCGATGGAATCCTGAGACCCTCTGAGTTCAAATGTCCGTCAGCTAACTAATTGTACTTGCTGTGTAGGAATTGATCTAGTGATACTGTGGGGGACAGAAGACATCTCGATTATTTTGTCTTACATGGCTAAAGAAAGAGCTAGAAGGTGCCTGGGGTGTGCAAGTCTTTGACAGATACACCGTGGTACTTCACATTTTCCGCTGTAACGCCCAGACCAGAGAAGCAAAACTGCAGATAGCATTGGCTGAAATTCCACTTCTCAGGTACCTCGGGCTGTGCAAATCACATACTCATATCTACTTGTTTTAGTGACTGTTTCTTTACAGTAACAAAACCCAGCAATATTTACTGTAGAGAAAAAATACATAGGGTATTCAGTGATTGATTAGAGCACAGAATTATTTACTATAATGTCATTATTTTAAGCTTCTGCAGTGCTGACAGGCAAGACCAGAATGTGTTCAATAATCTCACAAAATGTATTTTTCATTAAAAGGACCCAGTTCTTTCTAAGACACAAGACGGATTGCCAGAATATGTAGGAATTGGATATGTATATCCCATATATAAAATTGTTGAGTTTAATAAGGAAAGCTATAAGTAAGGAAGATTAATTTGTATTTAAATTTTCCATATTTCTGCATTATGTGGCATAGAAATGTGTACATGGCAGTTGGTGTGAGTCATGTGGATGTTTTAGAGGTATATTTGGCTCTCTGAAATTTCAGAATAGCAATTTTAATTTACCAAGAGAGTTGTATACTTTTCAAGCTACAGTTGAGCCAGAAAAATCTGGATTTTTTTCTCCAGTCTTCTTGCCATGCAGGTTTTATTTACAACTCATTCATTTATTTAGTGGTTTTATTTGTACTATCAGAATACTACTACTGCTTCACAATTTTTAGGTATTTTGGTATAACTGGATTAAAGAAAAATGCTTCTAATTAATTGTTACTCTGCTGCCAGGTCACATCTGAAAAATGAGGTGTCTCAGCGAGATCAACAGAGAGGTGGTTCAAGATACATCATGGGCTCAGGTAAAGTCTAAATATTCTCATGTTTTAGAGGATTTTTTTCTCCATAGCTTTTAAACAAATTTAGTTGCATCTTAGTTTATTTGGAGTAGGTCAGGAGGAAAAACAGTGTTCTGCATCTAATTAAACAAATTACAAAACTTTATTGGAAAGTAAGTTAAAGTTTGGCTCTGTACTATTCAAGTTTTTTGGTCAATAAGTGGTCAAGGATAAACTATTTGCTTGCCACAGGGATTTTTCATAAGTGTACATGGCTATTTTAGAGTGGTTAGCATGTTTTATAATTACTCACTTTCTTAGGCAAGAATACATAGGTTTAGTGGCTTATTTTTAACTTCACAAGACCTAGTGCTAACTCATTTGATTTCCAAATATATCACTTGCTTTACAGTTTCTCTTGTAAACTATTCCGCCAATTACTCATTTATATGTTTCAGGTGAAACATTTCTAGAAACACAGAATCGTGTCTTGAAAGATAGAGAACTTAAAATTAGGAATGCCCTGGAGAAACTAAGGAGAAAAAGGGCTTTACTTAGAACTCAGCGCAGAAAAAGCGAGTTCCCGATGATCTCAGTAATGGGCTATACCAACAGTGGTAAGCAAAACCTCCTGAAATCATAACACAAAACAGCTTATATTGTCTAATTTTTAATTAGAAACTCCAGCCAGATTCTCATTTGTGTGTGTACAGGCTTGGTATTTTAATTAGTTTTTTTAATTGTGTAATGAATATCTGTCAGTTAGGATGTAGTTAGGAAAGCAAATTAAGATGCTTGGTTTTTTCAGTCTTGAAGACATGTTTTGGAGAAATGCCTAGCACCTATTGTGCCAAAAAGATTTTATAAACACTGTTGAAGACTGCACTGTTAATGTCCCTTTATATGAATTTCTACTACTTGAGCAGAATGGGTACAGAAAAGTACATGGGTGTTTAAATCACTGTGAAGACTTGAGACATAGGAAGAAAATTGAGAGCTGGCTATTGATCAGGGAAACCTGCTTAAGGAGCACTGTAGCTTTCCATGGATTATGTGTAGCATTCTGAGATGTGTTCCTAGGAGAATCTAAATAAAGCTAAATACGGCTTCTGCCTTTTTTGGTTTGGTTTGGTTTGGTTTTTTAGCTTACACGAGTGAATTCTTACTCAAAGCATAAATAGACTTTGGACTAGACAATTTTTTCAGATTGGATTATCTTTAAACAATTTCATTTTCTTATTCAGCTTCTTCAAAAAAAACAAACCTATCTTACAGTAATTTTGTTATGACTTGTACACTCAAGGTTTTGAATTATACTCTGTGTTTTTCTTAAATTTCATACTTCCATACTTTTCAAACTGAAGATTTAAATATATATATAGATATAAAACAGTTTGGTATACACATAATTGAAAACTTTAATTAGGCTATATACTGAGCACTTTAATGACTAATTATGTAAAATATTCATTGAGTCAAATAAATGTCTCTAGTATTATGTTCATGAGGAAATGCCCAATAGAGACCTCAATCTAATAAGGTATTTATTATTAGTGCTTCTCTTTATTTTTTTTTATTTAGCAAGTAAATTTTTTCATTTGACAACAGAAGCATTGAGGTGTGTAAATGCAAGCTTCCTAATGCTGTCATGGCAGTGCTCTTCAGAGAGTCTTACAGGTGAGAGATGTGGGTAGGTCACTTTGCAGGTAGAGCCTTTGATTTCACAGCACAGCTGTAGATACCAGTATGTGATTACATACGTGACCTTAAACCCAATTCCAAGTTATAAAATGTAGGACTGTTTTTGGGTTTCCTAACATCATACTGATCACAAGCTACAATTAAATGACTAAAATTGATGTTAAAATATAAGTTACATCATACATTTCACCTGAGCTTTGCAAATTAAATTTTACTTTGAATAAGCCATTAAAATCTTGTCCTTTTTTATTTAATTAGGAAAAACTACTTTGATCAAAGCCTTGACTGGGGAAGCAGGACTTCAACCCAGGGATCAGCTGTTTGCCACTCTGGATATTACAGCCCATGCTGGCTATCTGCCCTCACATATGGCAGTTATTTATGTTGACACCATTGGGTTTCTGACTGATCTTCCACATAATCTGGTTGAGTCATTTTCAGCTACACTAGAAGAAGTGGCTTACTCAGTAAGTAGTCAACTATAAAAATTGAGAAATGAAGTTAATTTCCTTTTAGATAATCCTCACCCCTTCAAAACAGGGCAAGTTAATCGACATTCTGTTCTTAGCAAACTATCCGGCTGACTATAGTAAACTGCTGAGATAATGATGTAAGTATCTTAAAATAAACTAATTTTCTGATACTTTATTTATGCAGAACATACAGCTATGAAGGAATTTCAGAAGTGGCTTATTTTGAGTGTATGTGTTCATCTCCATGATACCTAAGCCAGATAAACCAGATTTTTCTGATAAAATATCTGAACAGTGCATCCAAGTGAGTCAAGGCTAGGTTTCCTGGGAGTTAAAAATGAAATAAAGCATCTGAAATTACCTGGTTTTAACTTAAGGTTTCCTGTAGAACTACAAGTGGGTGATTGTGATGTGATGCAGGCAGCATGTAATAAATATAAATGTACTTTAGCAATTATTTTCTCATTAAAGTTGTTTTCCTGTGCTATAACAAAGTGTAAAGCTGCATACATACACACAGACATTCAAACAAAAATCCTGTCTTATGGAAGGTAATGAAATTCAGTGGTAGCTAGATGCCAGAACGCTGCTAAAGATCAGACTTCACTATATAATACCAAGGCTTTCAAAAGCTGGCTGAAACCATCCTGGTTTTCACTTACTTCTAATTTTTCCAAAGTTTAAAGCAATGTCTTTAGCAAAGATGATGAAACAATTTGAATGCAAATGTTGATTTTGTTTTCTTGGTTTTTATTATGGCAAACATTATATATATATACTTGAAACTGATAGCTTTTCAGTAAGCATCAGTAATAGTATCCTGGGAGCTAAGCATAAGGATAATCTATATTTTGAATGTAAAAATAGAATTACAAGTTACATGGAGGTTTTTTTTTTCCCCTCTGTTTTTGAAACAGTTTTGTAGCCATTCGTCTCCTAAAAGCTTTTTTTAGGGTTGCTCTTCTTAATCTCCAGTGTTTTTGAAGCCTTATTGTTACAAAGCCTGGGCTTTAAAAAAAAATGGATCAGTTATTACTTGAAATCTGATTCTGTAACTAGCTTGATTGACAACGTTTGCTCCAGGTTTGTGGGAGGCAATTTGTACTCACTAGAGGTGGAAGACTAAGCTGCTGCAGATTTTCTTCCATCATGATCTAAGAAACAGTAGTTTAATACTGTTTTACTAGTTAATTTTACAGTGCCAATCTGCCAATGTATTATCAAATGGATAGGAAAGTATTTTACATGAATTAGCAATGCAAAAATGGTATACAGTGTCTACAACCTGGTAACAGGTGTTGCATATTGATCTTTGCTAGGATCTGATAGTTCACGTGAGGGATATTACTCATCCAGAAACCATCCTACAGAAAGCAACTGTTCTGTCAGTTCTGAGGAATCTTAATCTTCCTAGCCATTTACTGGATTCAGTGGTAGAAGTTCATAACAAAGTGGATTTGATAGAAAGGTAAGCATGAGATGCTAAGTGTACTTAAACATTTCTTATGTTCTGTAAGCTTTTTAATTCTTAGTCTAGAAAAGAGATCCCACACTTCAGAATATATTTAATAGTGTATCTCAATCTTTTACATATGTAACTATGGTCTGAAAAAGAATTAATTATCTTTTAATTACAAAAGAAATCACTTGAGTCATACAAGAACTGGCCTCTGTAGAAGGTGTCAGTACAAAGTAACTCTGTGAAATTGTCCGTGCTTGGAATATTTTCACAACCTAATCTTCACGAACAAATGTGCTAGCAATTAATTTTCTTTCAGTTATAAACCTGCTGAAGAAAATGCTTTTGCTGTTTCTGCTCTGCATGGGCATGGTTTAGAAGAACTGAAACAAGAAATAGAGAAAAAAATACTGACAGCAACAGGGAAGAAGATTCTAACAGTAAACATCAACTTAGAGGGACCTCAGCTAAGGTAAATAATTCTGAATTGTATGAAGGATTTGGAGAAGTATGAAACACTTAATCATTCATGTCTTAAATTTCTCAAATCATATCATACTGATTTTAATCTGCATTAAGAATAACAGAGATAATAATTTTATTTCATCAATAATCAATCTATTTAATAATCAACCTATTGACAAAAAATAGCTCAATTGGAGAAGTGAAGCAAAGCACTTCATCTTTTAAAGCATTGTCTAGATAGAAATCTTCTGACCTAGACCAAGGATCACATTTTGTGCAGTGTGTCACACTTTTAAATGCTAATCTGCTTTTACATTTACAGTTGGCTCTATAAAGAAGCAACAGTTCAGGAAGTTGAGGTCATGCCTGAAGATGGCACAGCCAGGGTGAAGGTGATAATCAGCAGTTCTGCTTTTGGGAGATACAAAAACCTCTTTCCCAACAGTCAGATTTTCATGTCATGAAACTTCATCCTGTTGTAGGAGAAGAAACTGATCTCCTCAAGAGGATGTGAAATGAAGTGAACGACCTGTTAGTCTCACTGCTGAACAGTTTATTTTTCTTCCCCACTTGATGGTTTTGGCACATTTTATAAATGGACACTGTTTCAGAAAACTTCTGTATGGAAACAATAAGAGCTTTGAGCTTAATTTTGTCAGCAAGTACCAGGACAGCACTAAATTTTTTATGTTAAACATGTTGCTGGATATAAGCTGAGGACCTCAAACATGTGGACTGGCATCTGACTTAACCTTCAGAAAAGTACAAAGTTTCTTGTATAAATAAAGCTTTTTATTGCCTTTTTCAGAAGAAAATAGTATTTATTGTAGTTAAGGTGTTTCAGATGGTCTTCAGAAAATGAAATTTAGTGAACAAAATGTTGTTAATTGTATATAAATATTGAAGATAAATACGTGTTCAAGCAGAATGCATGGATGTCAAATAATTGCCATGTCTTATTGCAGAGAAGAGAAAGAAAATGAATTCAGACATTAAATAAAGTTAGCTGTGAACATCTTTTACCCATACAGTTTTCTTGCCCACAGTAATTTATCCACAATACCTATTACTATATCAGTTCTTGGAGAAAACAGTTAAGGTACAGCAAACCTTTTCACAGAGGAAAACAAAAAGAAATAAAAAAAACACAACCACAACAGATCCATTTCTTACATTATGAATTACTACTGAGAACCAATAAAACAGTATCACAGAAAGGAGAAACCAAACTATTTCATTCCATATTATAGAGAGAGATCAAGTTTTATTAGAATAACAAGGGTACAAAAGAGGGCACAAAAGACAGGCAGAAAAACTTCTGCAAACATTATCAGACAACTGAATTTAGCGTTTGCATGTAAAGTGCATCTAAAAAGTGAGGTATATGGGTGAAGTTGCATAGTGAACTTTACACAATAATTGGTTTTATTTTAGTCCTGATGCTTGACATTTGTCTTGCCTTCATGAAGATCTGTTACCACACAGTTCATTTAGAAAAACAGAATTAGTATGCAATGGGAAATAGCATAAACCTCTTCGTTTTGACGTACACAAAAACTACTTAGTGAGAGGAAAAATAATTACAGAGCTACTAAAATAGCTAAAAAAAAGACCAGGTGTGAAATCCCAAATGAGCATGATAGAAGCCAAGAATCTGCATTCCTAAGGCAGTTTAGGTTAAGATCAGGAATTTGTTCCCTCTGTGTTTATTTTCAGTGTAAGGCGTACTTAGGCAACACCTAGTAAAATGTTCAATTGCCACAGACAAACTGTGTAAGGGCCTTGTTTTGGTACCTTTATCCCTGTAGAACTGGCATAACTAAGTGCAAATTCAGTTACCTCTTAAAAATTCCAAATAATTTTGGGGCTACCCTGTTAGTAAAGTAGCTGACAAAAGATACTCAGCACATTGGTGTAAATATAAAATCATTTCAAGCTGGATTGTCAGTGCAGCATCTCTGATATATCAAAAATATTTTTTAACTGTTTCTTTTGTTTATTTATCAGAAACTATGAAAACAGACAAGTCAATTTCAGACTGATATAAAAGAGTAAGAATTTGGGTTGCAAATAGTACAGAGTATCCTTAGAGTTATAAGAAAGATAAAATCTTACCACTAAATCATGCAGCTACTGACATTTTCCTCCTTCTTAGTCCTATGTAAAATAAGATTGAGTTCTTGGGACTTTCATTTTTGGCAGCTGCTGCAGAATCAAAGCACCTCCCAAAAAATTACACATATACCATAGTTCTCTAGAGACTTCAGCAAGGTACACCTGCTCTCTTTTCTGTCCAAAAGCCTCAAAACCCTGATGGTGTTGAGAGACCTCTTCCTACTGAGCCTTGAAAGCATTCCTGATTTAAGTTAATTGGACCTTTATGGGATTCAGGATGTTTACAGTAGGGCACAATGAATGCAGACAAAGGCTTTTCAACTTTTCATAGATTAGGAAGTTGAGAATTAAATGCTATTTGTTCCAGTTCACTTTGGCAGTGCAGTGGAGGATTAATTTTTGTGTTAAGTTCTATCACATCTTTGACAAAATCATTGTTTCCTATAAAGTCTCCAGCAATTATGTTAATACATTTTTTTTTTTGTCCTGGATACTGCTGCTTTATCCAGATTTTCAAGCATGGAAGACTCTGGAGTGTCATTTTCTTCAATGATCCAAATGGGTGTACAAGAATATATCTTAAATTTTCAGTAAGGTTAATCCCTGCCACAAAGAATTTTCCTGAAACAAAAATCAGAAAGTGACACATTAAATATTTTTTTGAGGAGAAATTTCTCTGTATTGCATTACTTTCACATCTCATTCCAGTGGGGATTATTAAAATACTAACTACACACTCTTTCTGTATTGTTTGATGTCCCTACAACTGTTTGCCCTTGTTTGCCCAACTGCATGCTGTAGTAAACAATTCCTGAGCCACGCTCGGTTATCCACACATTCCAGTTTAGCTAAATTTGTCCAGTTATTCATTGCAGTCTAAAGGTTGTCCACTGACTAGTCCTCCTCTGTAAATTATGTTTGTTTCTGTGAGGGTTGCTCCCAAACACTTAGCCTTCCCCCTGCACTGGATGGGAACACAGGGTGCACCCACACGAGCGTTTGCCTTCGGCTGGGGAGTGCGTTTCTGGAGCGGCTCCCCCGTCACCGCCCTGTGCAATCACTTCAAAAGCTGCATCAGAGGTTCAGAACTGAACCTCTGTCAGATTACACTGCACAAGCACACCCGAGTGCTGCTGTTTTATGTGCAGCTACACTCTTCTCGTACTGCTCTTGTATCACAGAATCATTAAGGTTGGAAAAAGCCTTCAAGATCATCAAGTCCAACATTTGACCAAACACCACCACGACAACCAAACCATGGCACTAGGTGCCACATCCAGTTGTTTCTTGAACACCTCCAGGGATAGTGATTCCACCACCTCCTAGGGCAGCCTATTCCAATGCTTAACCAACCTTTCAATGAAGAAACTTCCTGATTTCCAACCTCAACATTCCCTGGCAGAGCCTGAGGCCATTTCCTCTTGCTGGTTGCCTGGGAGAGGAGGCCAATTTCCACCTTGCCACAACCTCCTTTCAAGTAGCTGTAGAAAGTGATAAGCCCCCTTGTAGGGGCTCCCTTTCACAGGAAGGCTAGTGGAATGCACTCCTCTCATTACCTGTGCTGCCTAAAGCAACAAGCTCTGCACTGAGGAAGCAGCCTCCTACCCATGTGATGGGAACAGCCACACCAGCGAGCTGGCCTGTGCTGAGGGCTGCCTTTCTGTGGGTCACAGAAAGAGAAAGAGCCAGGTGGCTGCCACAATCTCTGTGCATGTGCGTGCACTGACAGCACCACCAAGGACAACGTGGCAGTCACCCAGGGGAGGGCAGAGCGCTCAGCAGCCATGGGCACACAGCACACACAGGGTTGTTATATCCCATATGGCAACAAGTGCTTGATTTCCCAGTTGTTTTGCTTTGCTGTCAGTGCCCCTTCTCTCCTCCGAGCCAACTCCCTGTGCCTACCTGGACGGCCCATCCGCTTCATGCGCTCCAAATAGCGGATAAGAGCACGAGTGGATGTTTTGTTTCCCCACCAGTATGGGATGGGGGGCCACAGCTCACAGTGCTTCTCCAGTTCCACTTCCTCTTCGTACGAGACTATAACCTGATGGCCGAGGTGCCACATGGTCCGCAGTGTTGGTACCACCTAAAAGGAAGTGTGTCCAGGTTGAGCTCAGCAACACAGCAGCATTCCCAAAGTCCAAATACTAATGTGTGGTATCACCTTGGCACAGATTCAGTTCAGATAAAGCTTTTAAATGAGCAGCCCAGTAGGTGATGGGCTGGTTTACAAGCTGCAGGGCAATAGGACCCTGGGAGCTTCAGCAAATTCCTCCTTTCCTCAAACAAGTCAACTGTGATCATGTAGAGGTCTTATACCTGTTTATAGGAAACCATCCCTGAGTCAGCCCTCATGCACAAGCCACTGAAAGGCTTGTTAGGGGAGGGAGATACTGAGCATCTGATGCAGGAATGCAGATGGAGAGAAGCAGGAATCATTTTGGCAGACTCTGCATATTGATGCAAACTTGGCACAGTAACCATCAAAAATTACTGAACTGCTTAAAACGTGGTAAGACAAATGTGAATCAAGAGGAGCTACATTCTCATTTCTCTAACTAGAAAGTTTATGAAATTGGGATGCTCCTGACATTTTTGATTGAGAGAGAGGAAGACCCGAGTCATATATATTCTATCTATCTATCTATCTATCTATCTATCTATCTATCTATCTATCTATCTAGATGGGCTAAAAGAGCTGTTAAATTTAAGTGTCTCAAGGCAAAATTATGTTTTCCAGCCTCAGAAGTTACCATTGGAGAGAAATGAGGCCCTCTGACTAGTTTTATTTGTAAAACCACCATATTTACCAGGCATTGTTTTTTCTGAGAATGTTGTTGTTAAAAACTACATTTGCTGCTTGTGAAAAAGAAATGGTGGCTTTTTGATGTTCCAATTAGTTTATTAATTTAAATAAAAGCCAAAGGCACTTGAAAATTAATAATGTAAATATTTGAAGAAAGCTGAAGGTTGAATGAAACCCTCTCAATTCATCTACAAAAGAGAGAATGCAAGCTCCCATTAGGTCAGAAAATATTGCAAAATTAAGGCACAAGCTACTTAAGCTACAAAACTTTGTGGCTGACTGAAGCTTTTGCTTTACTCCAGCTGCCTTTCTAAAGCTGGAACTTCTTAAACAAACAAGCAGAGATGTTCAATAAAAGCCAAAATAAAAAATCTACCAGAGATGTGTGTATGAACACATGTGCTTATTTTGCAAACAAAGCAGAAATGAAAGTCTAACAAGGGATTTTTAAACCCTAGTAATCCAGATCAAAGGAAGACACCTTGAATAGTTAAGACAATTAAAATTTTAAATGCAGTGTAATATTGTCACACTGTGGTCTGTGCCAGTACTACACACAGACCTTGCCTGAGCAGCTGCTTCATAAACACTTTGACACTTATTTCTGTACAACAACAGAGATGTGGTCTTGAAAAACAGTAGGTAGCCATTTATTTTAGAATAAGTCAGAAAGCACTTGGATATTTGATGGCAAATCTAAATCTGTGGTCCTGAAAAATCCCACAGGTGCCTAACTTGCAATGGTACCACTAGCAAAAATGGTGAGATCCATTGTGCTGGTCACTGACACCAGAGATATAAAGTTTTCCCACTCAAGGGAAGTACTTGGTTTGTCTTTTCTCCAGTTGTCTTTATCTTCCTGGACACAACTCAGAAATGTTCTTTCTTCAGTGAAGTGATCTTAGACCATTCTTTCAATACCTTCATTCAACAAATTGCCATCAGCAACTTTCCCCTTTTGCAGTTAATAACTTCCTTCTTTTTAAGAGCTGGCCTTGTGTCTGAAAGCATATTTGACCACCTTCTTCAGTATCTCTGCTCATCCACAACTTACATGCTCAAGTTATTTGGGGAAACAATAAAACAATGTCACTCAGGTCTTCAGTTATTCAGCTGAGGCCTGAATATTCAGAATCCCCTAGTTTTGCTGAGAATTGTTCTATTTTAACTCTGCTGTACAAAACGCTTTGAAATGGTAATAGTCACACGTTACTGATACACCAGCTTCAAAGGCTGAATTTGAATCATGAACAGGGTCATCATTCTCCTGTACCACTCACATCTCCAGAGAAAACCCTCTGTTCCTGTGCATCTTTGAAATGTTAATTGTTTAACTACTAAAAGCTCCCACACCTTGTGAAAAACAGAGGGAGATAAAAGTCTCAACTTCTAAAATCTAGCAATCAAGTATTTTCTGATTATTTAAATTAAGGCTTTTCTGGAGGTGTGGGTAACTGTAAGACTGGTTAGGAGGTCAGCTCCAGGAAAGTCAGTGCCACCAGAAATGCACTGAGGGCAGAGATGCTATTAAGAGGGACCTCAACAAGTTGATAGAAACCTCATAAAGCTCAACAAAAGCAAATGCAAAGTCCTGAACAGACTAACCCGCACGCACCAGGACAGACTGGTGGAAGCTGGCAAGATATCTGCTCTGCAGAAAAGGACCTGAAGATTCTCATAGACATCAAGCTGCACATGGGCCAGTAATGTGTCCACCTGGCAAAGGTCAATTGTGAACTGGGCTGTATTAGCAAAGGCACAGACAGCAAATCAATAAAAGGGGATTTTCCCTTCTATTCAGCAACTGTGGGACTGCAGCTCAAGTATTGTTTGCAGCTGGGGCTTCCCCAGTAGAAAGAAGTCTCTGACAAGCTGGAGTGAGCAGCACACAACCAGAGAGCAGAGGCTGGAGCAGAAGCTGGAGCATGACACAACAGGACAGGCTGAGGGAGCTGAGTCTGTCCAGCATGGAAGACCTAGACAGCTCTTACTGCTGTCTGCAAATACCTAAGAGGTAAATGTACAGAAGACTCCTCAGATATGCGCAGCAAAGGATGGAAGTCAGCACACACAAGAGAGATTCTGATCAGATAGAGAAGGAAAACACAGTTACTGTGGGAGTGGTCAAATTTTGCATAGAAAAGTTGTGAAATCTCCATCCTTAGAGATAATCAAGAATGAACAGGCCCCAGCTCAACATAACTTTGAAGCTGGTCCTGCTTTGCATGGTGGTGTCAGACCAGATGACCTCCAGAGGTCACTCCCAACCTGAACTATTTTGAATAGAAAAAAATTAATTTATAATTATTGCCGTGAAAAGGACAAAAATGGACTATTTAAATTCTATAAATATGCAAGATGCACAACTTTTATTTTCCTTTGTTTTCTCTTTCATTTTCTTTTATTTTCTTCTCTCTCTTCTTTTCCCTCTCTTTTCCAAGAAAACTCAGGGCAGTAGATTACAGTTGTCTCTACTATTGTCCCACAACTCAACAGACATAACAGTCAAATTTAATTCCCTCTTCCACACTGTGGAATGTAGGTTTGCTTTCTCTCCTGAGTTCTATCAGATATCAACTTATCTCTGATGTAGCAAATGGTACCTTTCTTAGGTTAAAAACATAGTGAAAGTAGAATGTATCTAAAAATTTGGGAATCAAATATCTCACTGTGATGTATCTTTCCCTTAAAAATGAGAAAAAGAAAGGGATCTCATACTTACATTTCTAGGACACAGTTTACACTGGAAAACTGATTTTATACAGGCAACAAGATGATTATGATGTCTTTTTGTTAATCCATCAAAGTTTCTGCAGGCTATAATAACAACTTCCTGAGGATGAGTTTCTAACCACCTCAATATTTCCCACAGAATATCCTACAAAAAAGAGGTATGGCAGCTTAGAAATTTATCTGTGCTATGCAGGGTTAAGGACATACAATCGACAGAGCAGTGATGGTGGAGTGGACTCACAATTACAATAACGAAAAACTGTGTTTTCTAAAAAAAAAAAAAAAAACTGTTTCTATAATTATATAGGGCTTTTAATGCCTTCTTCCCTTTAATAACTTCTCTCCTTACCAGGGAAACAGGAATGCCCTGTGTATCATCCTGGGACAACAGGATAAACCCCAGGACATTGGGCACGTGGTAGGGGAAAGGAGCTAGAGAGCAGGCACAAAGAGTCTGGTTTGAGGATGAGGAAAAGATTGATGCCCCAGTATCATGTGGAGCTGCTGAAACTAACTTCCAGCCCTGCTGATTTTCTCTAGTTTGAAGACCTCACAAAAGAAAAACAAATAACTTACTCAGAAGACCTTGAACGAGCATTTTTAGGTTATGATGGCCCTTAAATGAAAGAAATGGCACTGCTTTTGTAGCCCTCACAAAAGTAAGGGAAATACCTGCACGGTAACAGTTGTGTAAACCATATGCACAAAGTACAAATTCATAGATGGATCATTAGCCTTGTGGGCAATCCTGAAATCCAGGTATCTAACTCCAGACTCAAGTTGCTCTGTCACAGTCAGGACCTGAAAGGTGAAACAGAAGATAAAGGTTCTGAGAGCACAAAAGGGATTTGTTTCTTTATTTTAGAAAGCTAAAAGAAGGGTACAAAGTTATCCCTATGGCATTTTTCACAGGCCTTTCATCTTTAAAATGTGACTGTATGGCACCAAACCACAACTTGGAAGCATTTTGCTCTCTGACAAGAGGGATTCCAATTTCCCTGCAGCATAAACTGCAAGTACAGATAGAGTAGTTTAGTTGCCCTTGTTGTGTTCTGAAAGTTAAAGATTGATTAACCTGTGCATAAATGCATGATCATTCTTCACACAACTATTCATTTAAAAAACAGCTGCAGGATCAGCACTTTAGAAATGCCATAATTTATTTTGTTAGATCAAAGACTTTACCACGGTTGTCTCTGCAGACCTCACACATCCTCAACAGAAGGAAAAACAAAAATAGAAAAAACTACTGGCTATTGTTCTTTTTCAATATAAAGTTTCTTATAAAATTTGAATCAACCTGTAGAAGTCCTACTAGACTAGGCACTCCTCTAGATCCACTTCCCTCAGAGCACTTCCATGGGGTTTGAGGGCTAAATAGAACAGGTGATAAAGCTGTTTCCGAGGCAAAAAGTTCGAAATTATGTGTCTTTTCCTTATATCAAGACTCTCTTAGCATAAGAAAATAGAATCAATTTACACATGTTTAAGCACTAATTTGTCTCAGTTCAACTTGCTAGGGATAAAAATTCAGGCTTCAGACATCATACATGGTACTGATCAGTACAAGGCATTGTTCTTGAACATCCAAGTTCGTAGCTTTAGCACTGAGGCAGAGATAAGACACATGGCAGGATGCTCACCTTGCCTAGTTTAACCCCTAACTTCCTGTTCTTTGGACATGAATTCAGCCTCCCCAGGCTGTGCTGGGACAGACCAGCCCCGTGTGCCCCAGGGGGTGCAGTGGGTCTGGCCAACAGCTCCTCCTGTGCCTGCTTGGCCTCCACCAGGCTGAAGAAGTTGAAGGGATGATCCGTACGCCTTTGCTTGGAGTATGTTGGAGATGGGCGTGTACATGGCTGTGGGTCATATATAACCTTTGTGGCCAGAAAAAGCACCAAATGAAATAGCTGCTCTGAACTGCCCTTCAGACAAATTCATTTCTTATCTGTTGACTAGACGGGAAAACGAGACAAATGAGACTCTCTAATTAGTCTCCTGGGTTTGGGTACTGAACTTGCAATGTGAACATTGCCCCCTAAAGGGCAGCTTTTAAAAGGAAGCCCTGAGGAGCAATGCTGCTCATGCCTCAATCTCACACCAGGCATCCAGGGCATGGCTGGAAGTTCCACAGCCATCACAAAGGGAACATTTGTGCCCCTAGACTGACAGCCACAGCATCTGGGGCTCAAGCAGGCAACTCCCAGGCACTGGGCCATCCAGGAATTTGTGGATCCTACCATCAGCAGGGCTCCCTGGTGTCTGCTCTGGATACCAAAGAGTGGAGTCATCTCCCCACAGAGATAAAACTGGAGCATGGCAGAGCTAAGGAGGGGCAGGATTGTAGCTGTGCCTCTTCCCTATCAGCACTGGGCCACTTCCTGCTTGTCACACTGGGTTTGGACCAGAAAATTACTGTAATGATGTTAAGAGATTGTTTGTCACCAACAGGGTCACTTTGCTGGCCAGAAACCCACAAGTTACAAGGTTTCTGAATCTTTCATTGCCTGAAGTCTCCTCAAAAAAAGCAGCTCAAGATAAACAAGGATCTGTGCTAAGCAAGTGCCTTCAACATCAGTTCATCATTGCTGGTTCAAATTTGATACCTGGTAGTGTCTTAGTCCAGTTTGCCAGAGCTGCTCAAACACAACAAAAGAAACCTTGGCATGCTTATTGCTATTTATCAATTATTCAGTTTTAATTCCCTAATAATGAACTACTTCTTCAATAAAAACAAAAAACAGAAAGATTTTTGTGTCAGGAAAGTCTGTTCTTTGGAAGAACCTTCAAAAATTATCAAAAATCTTAAATTATGATCTGCAATTTTGTCTCTAACATATACTTGTGAGGAACAAAGAGATAACTACTAGCTTAATATTTGCACATTTTAAAAAGTTAACTAAGCCTTACATGATGGATCACACCTTCACTCTCTTAATCTTTATGGGAAAAAAATCCCTTCAACAAGGGATTCTTCTGTTTCTGCTGCTGGTGAAATACCCAGTATAGGTGGGGAAAACAACTGACATCTCACACAACAATGATAACAGAAATGACAAGCAAGTACCTTCTGAACAAAGTGCAAGAGAATAAAACCCTCTGTTAGTGACATTAATATTAAATGTTATTTACCACCACAGCAAACATGTGGAAAAGGGTTTCTAGTACCAAAGTGGTCAGTATCAAGCTGTTTAATAAAACCAGCACACATCCCTGCCTCACTGCATGCTTTTTCCCCAGAAAAGGTGATAAGATCTGTATGGCTCCTATCTCATACTCCAAAGTGATAGATTTAGGAAAGAGTAAATTTCTTCATATTAGCTGGAATGGAACTGTGCTTTGGATTTGTGTTGGGAACAGCATTGGGAACACAGGAATGTTTTTCCTGTTGCTGAGAAGTGCTTACACAGAGTTGGGGCCTTTTCTGCCTCTCACCCCACCCCACCAGTGAGGAGGCTGGGGGTGCACAAGGAGTTGGGAGAGGACACAGCCAGCAGAGCTGACCCCAAGTGACCCCAGGGATATCCCTCATCATAAGGAGTCATATTCAGCATATAAAACTGGGGGAAGAAGAGGGGAACATTCAGAGTGATGGTGTTTGGCACACTAAGATGCTTTTACACACAATGGAGCCCAGCTTTCTTGGAGATGACAGAACACCTGCATGTCCATGGGAAATGGTGAATTAATTCCTTATTTCGCTTTGCTTGCACATGTGGCTTTTGCTTCACCTATTAAACAGTCTTTATCTCAACCCACAAGTTCTCCAGCTTTTACCCTTCCAATTCCCTCCCCTGTCTCACCCAGGGACAGCAAGAAGCAGCAGTGAAGGGCTGAGTTGCTGGCTGGGGTAAAACCACAACACCCAAGTATGGCATCTCATGAGAGCACAGATTTCTGGGCAGCAGGCTATTCTACCATTGCACACTCTCAGCCCTGCAGCACAAGCTTTGCCAGGCCAAGAAGAGAACACCAGTTGATAGTTACCTGTGTTATAGACCACTTCATGATAATGGGGTGTACAATGCAGGGCAGACATTTGCTTAAAAACTTCACCAGCTTGGACTCATTGCCACTAACAGCAGAGCTTTTATCCAAACAGTAGGTCATAGTGTCGTGACTCCCTGTAGTATACAAAAATAAATGTAGAGAAAATCTCATTTCTTAACTACTCAGCATCACATTCCATGGCTACATTTCACGTGCACACCTGACAGGCCACCACATTTGCAAGCCACACACCTATATTGTTTGTGAGTCTCTGTAGTTATGGCAAAAAGGTGGAATTGTCTCTAGAGGTTGCTTACCTAACATTAATAAGCTCAGTGTGGAATCCTTGTGAAGGGAAGGCATTGACACTTTTCAATAAAGCAGTCCCCATCTAAACTACACATTGCTGTTGTTTGCCCCGAACCACATGGGTGGTCTGTTTCAAATGGTGCCTTCCCTCAAAATAGTTACCTTGATGTGAAAACTTTTGTTTTTTTCAGAGAATAAATAGCTGAAGGCTGAATTTATCAATTTAACAATTTGTCATGTTTTCAGAGTTGTCCAAATGCAGGATTTCATTGTCAATACCCTCATCTCTGCATGGGAGATTATGACTGAAAGCAGAAATTCATGTTCTTACACCTTTGACTGGACCAAGACTTAACTTGGCACTTTAAAAACTTTTATCTTAAATGTCTGCTAAAAATGTCCTCCTGAACTCAACCCCCACCTCGCCTACAGAAACAACAAACAAGGTGGGTGCTTGAAGGTTTCTGAGGCAAATCCAAGTCTAAGTTTATGAGCGAAAGATGAACAAGATCCTCATTTGATGGACTTCAAAAATTACCTGACTCTTCCCAGCACAGGGAATTACACAGGCATCAGAGCCAAGACCAGTCTGCCCAAATACTTTATTTCCTTGAGGTCTTAATAAATCTGACACATCTCTTGCATCATGTTTAGTTTAGATTAAACTATTGCAACTCACAATTTCATTAGGACAGGGAACCAGTGATTTTGCTAGCTTTTCTGTTCCATTATTTCTTCCAGTTTTATAAAGCATCAGTAAGAAAAGCTAACATCTCAGTGAAGTGCCTTGCTTGGACCTTAACAGACTATCTGCAAAGAATCTGTTTGGTTTTGGGTTTAAGTCTTCTGTCAAACTAATTGTTCACTGGTGCTAGAAACTTCGTTCTTGAATTGTCAGTCTTACTGGTGACAGTGGTAATATTTCTAATGAACAAAGTAAAAAGGACTGGTTTGGAAATAAAAGATCTTCACCACTGTCAATAATGGTTTGACGTCTCACTCAATTTTTTCACCTTCTAAAAGGCATTTTTTATCTATTTTACTGCTTTAAACACCCAAACCTCACTCACTGCAGATGGAAGATCAATATTGAGGGCATGCAATAGAAGAAGTGTGTGTTAGAAGATGTAAGAGTCAAACCATTAAATACCCATGGGTCAAATCCAAGTCTGAAAGAGATGAGCAGGATTCCATTGATGGGTGTTGCACCTATGGATGCCAACCAGCAAACAGATAGTAATGTTTTACTCACGAGTCTTTTGTGATGTCATGAGTTACAGTAATGAAAGGAAGATGTGTACATCCATGACACAACATATATGATGTAAAGATAGTGAGCTAGCACCAAGGTAAGTAGCTCCAGACCTTGAATCCACACCTCCCCAGCAGCACTGTGCTGAATCTGGTGCAAGCACAACACTAATTAATGAGATTTGCCATTGTTTCCTCATCATGCCTTCAGAATCCACTGTCATGTTTCTTGCATGCCTTCTATGAGATAAACTTCCACTTCCAAACTGGGTTTCCTCCCTCTGGAAACCTGCCAGAGCTGTCTTGACCTGGTTGGTCTTGATCTGTTTGTGCTCTGACTTGGGCTAGATCAGCTTTGTAGGTCAGCTGGACAGACACTAAAATATTCCAAACTAATAGCCTGCAATGCTCTGTAAAATTCCTCTAATGTTTGCTGAAATGGACTCGCCTTCAACTGTTCTTGATGCCTGTTCTCCCTGCAGGCATATTCACAAGAACAACAAACATTTGCAAGAATAACAAGGTCACCCTTAGGAGGAGAGCCAGGAAGGCAAACAAACCCGTCAGCAGGTTCTCCACTTTCTTTGATGGCCAAGAAATGCCAGGTGAAAGTCTTATAGAAACAACATGGCTCATTTTCCAACAAAACAAAATCCCACTGAGAGTGCTATTGACTTTCAAACGATTCTTGCAATAGGAATAAAAATAGGAAAAGAGGAGACTATTACCTTCTTTCATCAGTCATAAGACAGATACATATTTTCTTTTTTCCTCTCTTGATGGTAAAATAAGAAATCTAGAGGGTTTTTTTTTTAATAGCACCTGTCCTAGTCCTCTTACATAGGCTTTATCCTAAACATAGATGTGCTTGTTTAGAAGTTAACATCAACTCACATTATATAAGAAGTCTCCATGAAATAAGTTATTGAGTTCTCCCAGGGCTCTACCCACTGAAGACAAGACTTCACACTATCTCTAAATATATGCCTTTCCTAAAATTAACCTATGATCCTGTGGCCTACATAAAACATTCAACTACAGGCTGTGCTGTTTTCCCCCCAAACTACCTGTTACATCTACAGGTGTGAGAGAAAACATGGGCTAGACTTTTCTTTAGTACCATTTTTGATGTGTAGGCAAAGGGAATCATTCAAGAGCTGATGGTCCTTCAGTGCCTCCCCATGTGTCAGTGAAATCACATTACACCATAAAACTTTCTGACAGAATGAGAGAGAGGGAAAACAATCAAGGCAGCAGAAAAAAGCAATAATATGGCCAAAGAAAGGTTAATAATACACAGGTATGATTTAAATGCATTTGCACATAACATAAAAAAACCCAGTTTTTATAAGGTGGATTATGTAGAAAAATAGCAATCTACATTAATGAAAACATGTTAATTACAAGTCTAAATTCTCCTTTTTCTGCAACTTCACAGCCTCTTTTAGGCAGTACAAAGAAACAAATAATAATGTAAAATATTCATTCTCCCCTCCTGGAAACATTTTATTATATAGGCAGTCACAAGAATTATATCATTGTATCATTGTATAAGTATTGTATCATTGCCCAAAAAAGCCAATCCTTAGATTATTAATAGTATCTGACCAGATGATGCAAAGTGCCTCTTTTAATTTCTAGAAAACAATAAAAAATTCCTTTTTTACCCCTCCCCTCTAAGAAACCCCAAACATTACAGACCAACATTATTCACATAACACCACACAAACCCTCCTCCACACACTGACCCAAATAATAAACATAGCCATCCTGAAATGGGACAAACAGGATATTCCAATGCTTAAATGGCAAGCTAGCAAAACGGTGGAGAACAAAAGTAAATCTTTACCTGGAAGAGCTAAGTTATAGAGGGGAATATCCCAGAGCTTCTCTGGTAACCGTGACATCCATTGACCATTTTCATGACACACGTGAACGAAGGTTTGCAAAGGGCCTTCCATTGGTATGTGCTCTGGGACTTCATAGGGTGTTCTGGGAGGGAAAAAGAAAAGAAAAACAATAAACCATTCCATATACTGTGGCTGAATTAATGACATTGCACCTGTGTAGGGTGGATTTATAAATGTTTAAAAATGCCAACCCTTCTCTCAAGTAGTTGCAGCAAAATGTCAAGAGCTTGTCAGCCACGACACATGCTGCTTTTGATAACACTATCTCCCAGCACAATGCCAAAGGGCGGGTTCCAGCTTCAGGCTTGCAAACTGACCAAGTGAGAGAAAAAAAACGAGCCAAGACAAATATACACGGTTTCATTGGTATGGAGAAATTACTGTCTGTATTGGCTCTTGTGAAATCACAAGGAGAACCTCCCTCCAGTGTGAAACTGCGTCCATTCCTTTACCCTTTGCAGTCCCAGGAGCATGGCAAGGGGACTGATGGCAGGGCTGGGACAGAGGCTGGGTCTGCTATCCTCAGGTCCCCAGAGAACACTTTCCTTGAAGGATCAAACCAGGTGCCACAGGAGTACCTCTGTGAAAAGCCTTTACAAAGATGTCGGGACACTGGATTTGCAGGTCATGCCAGCATCTGGGGTCAAAGAGGAAGACTTTCCTCTCCTTATTCCTGCTTTGTAGAACATCAAAGATGTTTTTATCATCCCTACAAGTCCACAATCATAAGTATTTCAGTTTGGTCTGACCTTCCTGAAACTACTCTGGAACTGTTCTTCTCTGGGATCTTCTGAAAAATTTGCAGTGGTCATGGAGGAGTGCCAGTGGATGGAACCCAGATGAGAAATCATGGCATCACCAGGGTCTACTAGAGTTATTCTGTTCATTTTTCATTCTATGATATCCTCGATTGCGCAGAACACAAATAGAAGTTCACTGTGTTGTGGGGTTTTTTTTCCCTAGGATATTCTTAGTTCAGTTGGTGGAGTGGGGATTAGAGCCATCCTTCTTTTCACTGCTTTCAAGGCTTTGTCACAGCTAATGTGAGAGTTTCTTTTAGATCATGGCACAGTGATTACCATCATTAATATCACAGCTTCCTTTTTAATGCCTTTTTTAAAAGCTGCCAATATAAATTATTCCTTCTTGTCTGCTACAGCAACCATAGTCAGATAATGTATTTTTGAGATTTTGTACTCTGCAAATACCCTCACTGGTCCCTTGTCCCTTTTGCTGCACCTTAGCACATCCATTCAAGATAGTTTCTCCTAGGAGGCGGCTTGTTTTTCCATATATACTGGAGAGCCACAGCACTTATATGAGGAACATTTCCTTAAACATGGTGCAATAGATTTTTTTTCTTCTTTTGACAGTCACATAGGGTCATCTGAAAGGCAACTTTAGGAATTGCATTCCTAAGTTTTATGTCCATACCACACAAAAAGATACAATCTGCTTTTATACTGGTGTATGCACATAGCATCACTTGCCTAGCCTGCCTTGCTGTGCCTTTGGTGTGTCTTTGAGTTGAAAAAGACAAATGGTCTCTATATGCTACATCAGCTAATCTTATTCTTAGAAAGATGTTCAGATATCAGGCAGATCAACTCACTCATCCTCTGGCTCTGCACTTTAACATGATGAGCTTCTGTCCCCCACACACCCTTGTTCAGACAACAGATGTCTGCAGCTCATTTTGTCACCTTTTGCTGTTTCACACTTTATCAGAATGCACAGCACTGCTCACCCTCAGCTGCTCTGCTCTAGTCTCTGTACCAAGTAGCATCAGTGTGGACAGGGGCTGCAGGTGCTTAAAACAGCACTGCTGTTTAATAAAGACTGAATGGTCTCTCTTCTCCAGCTCTGAAGCTGACAGGACCTGTGAGACAGCATATGGCAACACTTATGCAGGTCCTGTATGCAGACTAGAAACCTGACTGTAAGCACTGATTTTCCTCTTTTGAGGGGGGAAATTTGCAGCTCCCTTTCCAGAGCCTTTGGGGCTCTCCAATTCCCCAAAGCCACCCACACTCCCCCAGAGCAGGTACCCATCATCCCAAGGGCCCATAGCAAAACCCTTAAGTCTTGCCGGGAGGTTGTCCCAGCACAGGCTCCTCTGCACTGACAGCACCCCCAGGATGTGTCCAAGGGTGCAGGTTTGCCTGCTGCCACTCTCCTCCTGCCAAGTGCTCTCACTGCCTTGCTCAGGCTAAGACAGGCACAGCCTCACAGCTGGCAGAAAAAAGCTGGGTTTCTGCCATGGTGGTGCCTTTCTCCCATTCACCATGGAGTCAGGATAGCACATGCTGAGGAAGTCCCTGCAGAGGCATCAACCCTGCAATTAGCTTTGCTGAGCTGTACAAGAGACCCCTTGGCATTACCCAGCCAGAGCCCAGAGGCCCCAGGTTCTCAGCTGCCATCATTGCCCCTGCAGGACCAGGACACTTCCCAAAGAGTGTCCTGCTGGGCGTGAGAAAAGCTGGCAGAGAGTAGAAACTGCAAGACCAAGACATGCTGCAGTCCTGCAAACATAAACATGTGAGAGATGCACATCTCATTCTCCTCTTCCTCTTCTTCTTCCACAGTACCCTGAGACTGGGGATGGCAGCCAGTGGCAGTGCATGGCAGGAGCTGCACCATTGCCATCTGCTGATCAAGTGCTGTACAAAAGTGACTGGACCAGGTTTTCTCCTGCTCTCCCACACAATGCCCTAGATGTTCACACTGCCACCTCTAAACTCAGCTGCTGCCTCATGTGTGAGGGGCAGCCTTTAGGGAGAAACCAAGGCTCGTCTGGAGAAATGAAACTGCGACCATTAGCTGCCGCCTCTCATGACTAAATGTTAAACTTCACAAATGAGAACTGTTTCTTTATTCCACTTTTCCAGACATGTAATTTCATCCTACACAGAGTACTGTGATAAACTGCTGTGTTGGGTTTGTATGGCATGATTTTGGTAGTGGGGGAGTCTACAGAGCTGATTTCTGTGAGAAGCTATCAGGAACTTTCCCCATGTAGAACAGAGCCAACGCCAGCTGGCTCCAGGGTGGGCCTGATGCTCAACAAGGTTGAACACATCAACAACAGTGGTAGAGACTCTGGGGAAACAGATTCAGGAAGGGGAAAAAAGTTGCTGTGCAACAGCAGCCAGGAAAGGAGGAGTACAGATATGTGAGAGAACTACCAGGGCCAGTGTAGGAGGAGAGGGAAGAGGTGCTCCAGGCACTGGAGCAGAGATTTGCCTGCAGTCCATGGTGAAGACCATGGTGAGGCAGCTGTGTCCCTGCAGCCCATGGAGATCCATTCTGGAGCAAAGTCCTCCATCTACAGCCTGTGGAGGGTCCCACACTAGAGCTGGTGAATGCCCAAAGAAGGCTGTGATCGCATGGGAAGTCCATGTGGGAGCAGGCTCCTGGGCAGAACCTGTGGTCCCATGGATAGAGGAGCCCATGCTGGAACAGGTTTGCTAGCAGGACTTGTGACCCCATGGAAAGGACCCACACCGGAGCAGATCATGAAGAACTGCAGCTCATGGGAAGGACTGATATTGGAGAAATTTGTGGAGGAATGTCTCCATAGGAGGGACCCCATGCTGGAGCAGAAGAGCACGAGAGGTCCTCCCCCTGAGAAGGAAGGACTAGCAGAGACAATACTTGATGAACTGACCTCAGCCCCCATTCCACATCCCCCTGTGCCCCTGCAGGTAGAAGAGGCAGAGGAAAATCAGAAGTGAAGTTGCACCCTGGAAGAATGGAGGGGTGGGAGGTAGGTGTTCTAAGATTTGCTGGTTATTTCTCATTACCGTACTCTGATTTCTTTGGTAATGAATTCAGTGTTTTCCCCAATACAAGTCTGCTTTGCCTGTGGTGGTACCTGGTGAGTTATCTCTCCCTGTCCTTGGCTTACGAGCCTTTCATTACATTTTTCTCTCCCTTTGCTGAGCAGGAGAGTGATAGAGAGACTCTGGTGGGCTCTTGGCTTCCAGGCGTGAACAACCCACCCTAACTACCCTCGCCCCCCCTTGTTCACATCAGCTGTGGGTCCTCTCCATACAGGCAGCAATTACATTTTGAGGACTTTACCGGGCTACATGCAATAAACAAGCAATAAAACATGCAGACGTGTAAAGCCACTGGAGATCACCCCGCTCCAGCCTCAGCAGGCCGAGAGCATGGGGCTGCTTGTGCCCCGCCGGAGGGTGCCTTGCACGCACAGCCCCGCCAGCCCCGAGCGCTGGGACGCGGCCAAAGCCCGGCCAACGCAGTTCCGGGAGGGAGACATAATTTAAGAACGATTCATGATTACATCAGTAAAACATATGCTGCAGCCGACCCAGAAGC